TAAAATTTGAAATTAAAAAATTTTCGAAATTCAAAATTTCCAACTTTTTTAACCGAATTTCTAGAAAAACCATATCAAATGAAGTTGAAATAAAATTTAGAAAATTTTCATCAAAATTTCAAAAATGCAGTTTTATAGCTCATAAAATTTTAGTTTACATTTTTAATAGAAATAAATTTCAAACCTTATTACGTACTTAGAGAAATGCAACAAAAATTTTTAAATCTGAATTTTTAGAAAAACTATATGTGTAAATAAAAGTTTGAAGCTTTATAAAAAATAAAAAAAAAAACAAATTCTCATCACACTTTCGAAGTTCCATGTTTTGATTTTTTGTGATTTTTTTTCTGCAGATTTTTTCTATAAGAAATTCATGTTTATATGGAAAAAAAGCTTTAACAACAGAAAAAAAGTTTTTAAAAATCAAAGCGAATTTTCAGACGCTTAAAATTTTATAATACTAAAATTTTATATCTATAAATCTGCATACCCAAAAATGTTCTAAAAATTAAGTTTGAAAACTTTTTGAAAATGGTTTTTGAATATTTTCTCTGTCTGTTTTCTGTAATTTTTATTAAGTTTAAAACTTTTATTTACATATGGGGCGAAATTCGCCAAGTGTACCAGAAAAAAGCTTGTAAGCATTTTTTTAAAACTCCACTACGTTGTTGCTATGTTTACTAGTGACCAATATGTATACGATTTTTTTCTACCACCATGGTTTTTTATTGAATTGCACGAGTTTAAACATGCAAATTTCACGCCTTTTACTTAGAGTCACAAGTTTTCTCAAAATTTTTATCCCATGTTACATTTATTATAGAGAATCAAAAATGGTTGACCTATTAGAACCGTTTACGTGCTATTTGGTGAAAACTATATTTATTTGCAAAAAAACTCAAAAAAAAATTGCATTTTTTAAACAATGTAGCACTTGGTTTTCTTTCGCAAATTTCTAAGCTTACCAACGATATATAATTTGTGTTCGGCGTGGCAAAAGGACTGCAAGTTTTTCATAATAGAACGCAAACATGTGGTTTTGGTTTTAGCATAAAAAAAAAAAAAAAATTTTAACTCGAAAAATATTGTGAACATTAAAAAGAGAAGCCACCATGTGAACGGTTATTTGTGGCATTGTTTGTAGTAAGTAAATAACTTGCAGGCATGCAGTTAATTTCTAAAACATTGAAAACTTTCTTTAACACATACATACATATTTCATAGATTATTTTAGCATTAAATATCTACGCAGATAAAATTGCTTTATTTGTTTTGATTTGACACAGAACTAATTCGTAATTCGCTGGCAACACACAAAAAGGTCGTCACTGCAGCTGGGCAGAGTAGCTTTGAAACCATGAAACTATAGCAATTGAGCAGTATGTATTTTTATACAATGTATGTACAGTTATGTATGTATGTTTGTAGGTGTAAAGTATACTTATTTTTTTACAGCTTTCGAAAACAATAATTGGCAGAGATTTGATTTCTAAAAATAAAATATTTTCAAAATTATTTTGCAAAAAAAAAAAAAATTAAATTAAAAAACTTTGATTCAACAAACTAAATTTAGCATAAGAAATTAAATTTTACTTTAGTTTTACAAAAAATTCATTAATCAAAAATATGTTGGTATCTAACCATTTAAGCTTAGCTTAACTGTACGCATCTAAATTCATTAACAATTAACTTTTTTAATGTAGATTTTTCATACTTAATTAAAACAAATTGTGCTCTTACTTCTAAAGATTTGCGCATTTACACATACATTTGTACATGCGTACTTTTTGTATTAAGACGATCAGTTTTGCTCAATATAAAAATACAAAAAGCCTGGAAAAGTGTGCCTCCACTAACTACCAAATATATGTATAGTTTGTATATATGTACATACACATAAAATAGTTTGTAAATATATATAAATTTGTTGTTTTTATTTTTATGTATACACACATACATATATTTCATATATATATATATATGTACTGATGTATACAAAAACAGACATTTACTTAACATTTGATTTTCGCTAATCACTATTTTCTTTTTGAATATTTTTGTTAATATGTTGTTCTCTAATTTAAGGCAATAATGTAAGCATATTTAACATGCATAACGTAGTGCAAAAATTACAATAACAATACGTATAAATAATTTGAGAATGAACTTTTATATGCTACTCGTATTGAACAGCTAACAAAAGCAGCAGTTTAAATATTCAAATATACATATGTATGTATGTACGTATGTTTGCATGTGTAAGTTGAAGTTGCAAACGGACAATACTTAACATTTACAAATATATAGATATTTACAATTTTTTTTTCCATTTCTTTTGACCACGCTTACTCTCGCGTACAGGCCTTTTTTGAAACATACATCGATTTTTTTGTGGACAAGCATACTTTGTGGCGGAGAATATATTGGTGGCACATCGTTAATCGTGAATCGTGAATTAATCGTAATCGTTCGTTCGATTTTCCTTAGTTGACCGTAAATTGCTAATAGTGGCAAGAAGTAAGTATTCGTGAAGTTTGTTGAAGTAACTCTTGGAAAAAAATTGACGCGTGCTTAATATTTACAAGTAAACTTCGTTTTGGATTTATGAATTTCATTCACCAGACAGTTTGCTAGCTCTACATCTTACGCCCGAACCAAGTTTATATGTGTCTGTACACGGAGCAGTATTCAATTGTTCAACGCCTGCTGGAACGCCCTACGCCTGCCCAGCATTAATAGTGGGAATCTTCGGGATCATTTGTAGGTTCTCAAGCCATCCCTGGATGATCCCGCGATCAAGCTCACATACATCATGCTACTGAAATTATCCTCAGCCAAGCCCTACAAAAATAGAATTCCTGAAAGGGACTGCTGTACAGCGATAATATCTGTGTTTGGGAATACTGGGGCAGGCATACTTGGACCAAGATTCCAGAAAAGTCTACCAATGGGCACATACTGAACTATATTTTAGGCGGAAGTCTTCGCAATAGTAGACTGTATTCGAGATTGTCTTCGTAGAAGGACAAATGGGGCCAGAATAAATTGTATATCGTATAGTTAGGCAGCATTAAAGTTTGTGGAAAGTTGTAAAACTATTTTGAACCGCCTAGGAGCCCATAACAGGGTGACGCTGTGGTGGGTAACCGGATATGAAGGAGCCTATCTGCGTTACATATAAAGTATACACTGCAGAACCACTTGCTAGAAATCTCTGATTGCTGGCCACTTGCGGAAGGCAAAGGCAATGAGATAGTCGAATACATTCATAACTCCTTCCAGAAGGAACTCTGAAAGACTCTTGCACGTAGCCTGGAGTTTCTTAGAACTCTTACTGGCTGCCTGACAGGACACCGCAAGTTAAGGCGCCATTTGAATAAAATGGACTGCAGGTTTTGTGGGTACCGTGGGACGAAAAGCCAAAGCATATAAGATTGGAGTGATTATAATTAGAGTTTAACCGAGCTGTTTTCTCTATCAATTTTCAATGCATTTTTTTTAGTAGATAAGCATTACAGAAACTAAATTCAACGTCAATTCGATCTTCGTGAAGTCTCCGAAAATGCTATCGTTGATAGCACTGAATAGCTGAGTTTAAAATAAATACATATATTCAAAAGTTCGTAACAGTTCGCGTTCAGTAATAGCGAAAATCTTGAGAATAGTTAATACCTCACATTTTTATTTTCATATATTTATAAAAAAAGACTTTCAACTGGAAACTAAATATTTTACTCCAAAGCCAGATGCTGCCCTCAGAGAAGAGGTTTGTTATATTTTTGACAATTTCGGCAGTCTTACTGTTTTTGGTACGACTCTAAGACCTTTCTTCCTCCAATGTAAGGTTCCATGCAATGCTTTAAAACTTTTCGTAAAGCATTCACTTTGACTCCAAAGTAGTGCCAGGCAAAATACTTAGCACAGTAGCGAGGCTACTGGCTGCCTGGCACTGCTCCAAAGCAAACTCAAGCCAAAGATTTTTCATATATTTTCATATTCAGTACTCATTTGCCGTTTCGTTTGGCTGACACTGGGTTCTTACATAAATAGCACGTATACATTTAAATGATTCTTTTTTGACACTTAGTGCCGCGTTTAACTTTTAAAACGCATTTAAAATTAAAAGAATAGTGCATTTTTTAATAAAATTTAATTTTTTACAGAAACTTCATACAAATTTTTCTGTACATTTACTTTTATTTATATTTATTTTTATAAAAATTCACAAAAATTTGCGTCGAATAATTGCTATTTCCCGACACAAATTAAATGTCTTGCCATCAAAAACAAAAAAAAAACACTTTAATCATTCTAAAAAGAAGTTAAATCGTCTAAACCGAAAATTTATATACATAATTTCATGAAATACAATAGTTAAAGAAAAAAATTTAAAAATAACGCTTTTTTTATTTCGAAAACTAGGAAATTAAAGAAATTTTGAAAGCAGTAGTAAATTTTTTAAGACTGACAAAATCCAATTTGTATCGCAAAAAAGCAGCAATAATTATATTTTAAATTTAACCCATTCCATGTAAAAATATTTTCATAATATTTATGTATATGGGTCTTCACATAAAATATGCGTAGTAATGCTTAAAAAATCATTCGGGAAAGTCTATGTCAGACTGACCAATGGTAGAAATCGACCATTACTTTTGGCGAGCATTTTTCTTCTATCATACAACGCAGTTCTACAAAAAAAAGGAAACAAATTTCGAAAGTTCAAAATTTCTCCATTTTTCGGATTTTGCAAGCTTACTTTTGGATATCTCAGAAACTATTACATTTACAAAAAAGGTCCGGAACTTAATTTTAAAGGTGATATTTTGGGCTATATAAAAATAACTGATCTTAAAACATCCTGAAATTTTCAAAACGGTGTTTTTTAAGATATGAATTTTTGAACTTGGAATTTTTATTTTACAAAGTAAACTAAAAATAAACTTAAATTGAATACAAATTTTTAACAAACTTTATTTAGAATTTATTTACCATTTTTTTGTTCAAAGTTCAAAAATTCATATCTTCAAAAAATCATTTTAAAAATTTCAGGATTTTTAAGATCAGTTAGAGGTATTGCATAAGAAAATTAGTTATAGATTTGTATAAGATTTTACTTTTTCGAGTTTTTTAATTCCAAATTCCGTAAATTTTTCTCACCTTTTGCGTTCCTTATATATATATATTTTTTTCGTTATAGCCCTAAGTATCACCTTAAAAATGAGACCAGGACCATTTTTTTAAATAAAATAGTTTTCGAGATATTTAAAAAATACATTTGTAAAGCCCCCGAAATTGTGAAATTTACAGTTTTGCGTAACTTTGGTAGAACTTCGTGCAAACAAATTTCTAACAAAAATTCATCTAAACCAAAAATGGTCGATTCCAACCATTGGTCGATTTCACATGGCCTGACCCATATATACAAGTAAATATGGTTTACATTCAGCAGTTTTTGATTCAGTACTTTAAATTTATACTATATATTTACATGAATATGTATGTATATACATATATATGCAATATCTGTGTAAGCATGTGTGTGTGTTTGTATATTAAACTATTTTTCGCTCTATTATATAATTCAGTTGCACAATCTTGTTTGTTTTGATTTTCTTTAAGTGATTTCTATGTAACAACAACAAGTAAACATCAAGTTCAATACAATTCAGTACAGCTTAAATTTAACTATTTATTCATTTTTTTTTTACACAAAATGAAACATTTCCTTTAGTTCATTAAAAAAAAATAAATTCATTAAACTTACAACTACTACCGTTAAGAATTGATTTTGAATCATTCAAAACTCCTTCAGACTGCCACCACGTTTCAGCTTCGCAAATCGCTTGAATCCCATACCACTGCTACTTGCCGAAAAACCACCACTACTACCGTCCTTGCCTCGTATATTTAGTGTGCTTGCGCTCAACACGCCTAGCCCACAGTTAGTTGTAGGACCATTGTATCGCTCACGCGACTTGTAACTACCTCGGAAACGTACACGACTGCGACGTCCGATGCGTTGCAACGGGCGCCACTCGAACTCCTGAGATTATAACTTTTTCTCCCACACCACGATGTGCGCATCGTTCGAGTTAGCGATTAACGGTGATGAGGCGCCACTACTTAGTGTCGCCGCTTTGTTGCTACTACCGCTACCGCTGCCAGGTGAATGTGCATTGTTGTACCACACATGTCGCCAATAGCCGCGTCCACCCATTAGCGTAAGAATTGTGCGTGGCCCGTCAGCATTTTGCTGTTGCTGTTGTTTGTTTGTTTGCTTTTGTTTACGTTTGAGCGTCGCCACAGCGGCGGCTGGCGGTGGGGTACATGCTCCAGTGGCAGCGCTTATGCCAGTACTCTTCGCTTGTTTTATGTCCAACAACTTGAAGCCATCTTCCGACTTGGGTGTGCTGTGATGTTGCTGAATTTCGGCGGTGGTCATTAGTCCATTCTCGGATATGTTACCCAAATCACTGCCATTGCCTGAGGTTTTGTGACTAGCGCTGCTGCTGTTGCGTGATACTGAACGTCCGCCGAATAGTCGAATGCCCATGCTTTCCTCGCTGCCCGATGATGTATACAAGCTGGAGGACTTTGAGTCCACCGACCAGTTGGACAGATCGAGTGAACGTGGGCGTGAGGCCTTCATGCGTAGGCGACGATCAAGCGTGCTGACCTTGCCAGGTATGGCAGCCAGTTCGGGGTCGGAGCGACGCATGCCTTCGTACATCATGTCCATGAGATTACCCTGCGTGCCCTCCTCGGCATCGTAGTCCTCCTTCACGAAAATCAGTTTACCATACAGACCGTAGACGTCACAACAGCCATGTTCACCGTGATTGAGAGTGCTGGTGTTTGAGTGCATGCTTGTGTTGAAACCGCGTGGCAGTGTTTTGGCCATGCGCGCCGAATCGGAGGATAGATCGCGGAAACGTTTGCGATGGAAAGCGGGAGAGTTTATGAGTGAAACACGTATTTTCGATAACGATTGATCAAATGAATTCTGCTTGTCCAATTTGGAGCAACGCGGTGACGAAGCGTTTGAGTCGCCATCCACGCTAAGCTCGCGCAACATCGAAGCTGAAGGTGAAGCCGTGCCCGATATAGACTCATCTTTGGGCAGGTCGCGGCGTAGTATCACTGTCGATTCGTCGAGATCGGCTTCGGTGAGTTTTTTGGGATCGGCATCTATTGCGGGCAATTGTAGATCGTCACCCATGCTTGGCGCCGTAACAGTTGGCTCCGCGCAAAAGGCGACAGGCAGCGTTTGTGTCGGTGGTTGTTTGTGGCTTGGGTATACGCGTGGTATCAGCGGCAACAAGAAGGTAATAGGACCAAAGTGTGCATGACATGACATATTGATTCCGCCACTGATGATTGGCACACCTTCCAAACGTGGCAACGGCACGGTGACTGCAATGCCAACATTTGTGCCTACCCACAGCAATCCCTTGCAGGCCATGAGTGCCGTTACATAAATGGAGCTATTATTGACAGCCTGTTCTTTCTTGCTGTCACTGCGCAACACACTCGAAGCTATGTTTATGTCCTGCAAATGCTTAAAGGTCTCTGTGTGATAAAGACACAGGACAGTAGAGTTCTTAAGCGAAATCCAAAGTCCAATGCCAGAATGTGCCATCAAGTTGACCTGTTGGTTGGCGCCGTGCTGCACTTCAAAACTCTTCTGTATCTCGCCGTTCAGCGCATTCAGTACATAGACGCGATTCGCGCATGAGGCGTAAATATTCATATTGATTGGCAAAAGGCTTGGTACTGGCAAACCTGATTCACCCAGCTGTACTACCTGCGGATCCTTCAGCATCCACACGCCATCGTATGAACGACGATAGATGAGCATTATGGCATTCGAGAGCGCCACGTAAACGACATCAAAGTGATAGAGTATTCGAGTTACGGCGCCAGGTACAGTGCAGCAGCCCAGCTGCTCTTCCTGTTCGGGATTTTGTGCTGAGTATATCAGTATCTTACGGCTGTCCGTGCCCATCCAAACAAGATCGCCTAGCAGACTATTATGCTCCTCGCGTTTCTTGCCGCTATCCAGCCCCTTTACGAACTCCATGGCGATAACTTGTGACTCGACCAAGTCGAAAGAACCAACATCACGAAGATTACCAGCTTGTTGATGATGCTGCGACAGCACTGCTATGTGAGAGGACGTACCATCGCTGGTGCAGACCCATAGGTAATTCTGTTGCTTGTGACGTCGACGTGCGTTGCCGCTGAGCTTTAAGTCATTAGCGATAGTGTAGTAACATCCACAGCGCACCTACAAGGTGAAAGTATTGAAAGATTGCATTATTAAAAATACTTAGGGCTGGTTTCTCCAACTAAACTTAATTTAGTTTAGCCATTTTTTGGACTTAGTCAAGAATAAGCTGATTAAAACGTAGGCTAATTTTTGGCTTAGCCTAGATGGTGAAAATGAATAAGTCGAGTTGGAGAAACCAGCCCTTAAAGTTGTAAAGTTAGTTCACCTCAGTTTGATGCTGTGACTTATAGACTGGTATCGCCTTAACAAAAAGTGGCAACTTCGTTGATTGTCGCTGCATCACCTGTTGCTGTTGTTCGTAGCTATTGCCAAAAGCTGTTGGCTCTGTTGTGGTTGACGTTTCCCAGGCGGGCGAGTTATTCGGATCTAATGCCAATTGTGCTAAACGTAGCTCCGTAATCCATTCCTTTTTCACATTCGGTGTTTGTGTCTGGAATGTGTAGGTTTCCTCTTTGCCCGATTTATTGCGTGCTATCAATTGTAGGCAACATGAATCCACCCAAGCCATTTCTTCATCTTTCCGTTGTATGGATGCTTGTATGGTATTTAGAACATTGCGGGTGGTATTCGTGTTGAGCTCTTTATAATTGCCTTTCAATGTACCAACGAGATCGTGTATGCGTGAGATTACTTCATAGTCATACATGAGCGTGCTCATTTCTGAGCAGAGATTATCGGCGCCATTTGTGAGTTGTGCAGCTGGTGAGCTGTCGAGCGAGTGACCGCCATGTGAGTATGCAGAATTAATTGGCAGCGTGTTGGAGTGACTATTGTTGCAGGAACTGCTATTGGATTTGAGACTTCCGCCGCGATTGAGACCTGGAAATAGAAAGAAAGTTGTCGATATTTTAGCGATGGGAATTTATTTTTCATATAGTTAGTTTGAGCTATTAAAGCTAAAGTAATGCTCATAGCCCTGCGGCTGACCGACTGGATTGAACTCCTGAAGCGGAAAGTCATGATCTTCAACACGCTCAGTATTTAAATGTGTTTTTCACAAGTTTGTGTCTCGTCATATTAGGTGGTCGTTGAGACTTACTAGGAGGGGTTCTTTGCGATCAATCTATTAAACGCCACGAGCTAAATACGAAATTACAGAAACGGCTAAGATCAATGCCTGAAAGTTCCTCAGTGTTGATTACGAAGTGCGAAATTCAACCTTAGCACCTTTGAGCAGAGTGTCTACAACTTCTTTTATGGCAGCCACTTCCCCTGTTGACGGGGAGGTCATGGCAGAAGATCCCTTTACAAACCCACCCATAAAGCTTCGACCCATCCGTTAAAATGCTCACTGCTTCTTTCCTCAACCCACTTCTCCACTTCCTATTATTCCTTGAGGGAATGTGTATGGATAAGTGTGTATAGAGAAGTGACTGCTTAGACCCACCTCAGAGAGGCACTGATATTTGTAATCAGGGACGAAATCGAAATGTTCAAGAATAAGTACTAAGTATAAAAAATAATTTTTCAAAACTAAAATACACACCAGCAGTTAATATTCTCGATAGCGTCGCAGAAGTACTATTATCCACAATTTCTACATCCGTCACGGGGTACATCCATTTGAAACTCAGCTTCTCGGTAGCGCCAAAATCATGAGACTGCTTCGGTGCGACAGAAACACAAATGACCTTATCATTGAGCAACAGCAGGCGACGTTGCTTCGATTTCACAATAAATCCAGCCTGATTGAACTCTACATGTGTGACATTATCCTCGCGCAACAGGTAACGTGGCCGATTACCATCTGTCGAGGTGAGTGAACGTGCATTGAAGGTGCCGGTGATGTGACCCAACATCTCCTTGAATCCCTGATATTGTTCCGCTTCACGTTTGCGTTCGTTTAGCATTTCGGCGAGTAGCTCCAATTGCGTTAGTGCCAATTGTAGTGACATACGATCGTGATGACCTTGTGGCGTATACTTGAGTATATCCTGTAGAAAGAGTATGAATTGTGGGAAACGTTGCACCGGCTTCACCATCAAACCGAAAAACGAGAGACGATCATGCGCGCTAATTTGTTTGACTTTAAAAAAGTCAGCTAGCGCTGATTTGCGTTTCTCTTCCATTTTGGCGAGTTCCATGGCTGCAGAGAAATTATTTATAAAGCCTGAATAGATTTCGAGTATGCGCGGCTTGCTGAAGGCATTCACGAAACAATCGCCCAAGCGTTCATCACGATCCCAGTTTCGTACACATTCGGCGAGTGAGATGCGGAATAGTTTGTGTGATTGCAGAATTTCGGGTAAGCGATGAAAGAGTGTAGCTATCTTGGAGGCGCTCAACACAGGTGGGTTGCTCTCTTCGAGAGGTTTCTTATAATCCTAAAATGGTCGGGGGTGTATAGAAAATGAGATGTTAGTTGGTAAATTACTTATATAAAAAAGTGAATTAACAAGAGAGTTTTACACAAAAGTTGAGGGAAATTTGGAAAAATAATAATCTTTTGATGATAGGAGATTTTATTTTCAATGACCAAATCAAACTATGTAAAAAGTCTTTTGCCAATCGGATATTGAAAATCGCTAGTGAATAATTTAAATCTATAATTTTTATAAACTAAGAAATATATGTGGACTTGTACCTATGTATTTAGATATTTATGCTAACATTTTGCTTTTGCTTATTAATTTGGTAACTACGAGTACATTTTTGGTAGGGTTGTTTTTAGATTTTTTTTTTGTTATTTCGTTATTTGAATTTTGATGGTTTAGTAGTAGTAGTAGTAGTAGTTGTTAGTAATGGTGATGGTGATGCAAATTATTGCGTGACGTAGGATTTGGATGGCATGTAAAGAAATAAAATTCGTAGATGTAGTAAAATGGATGAAATACTTAATCAAGTTGACTTGTAAGTTTTTTATATATGAGCTACAGTATGAACAAAAATAAATTTACTAAGCGAAAATGTGGTGACACTAATGCTAAAGGTAAATGTGCGCTAAAGAAAGAAGAGTGATAAAGAATGTTTAAAAATACTATACAGTCACTAATGCTTTTCGTTATTTTTTTATCTAAAATATCGTACATTGTAAACCAAAAACTATGTAAATCAATGTTTAAAAAATGAGATAAAATTAACACAAAATCAGCAAACTTCAAAAAATGGTCATAAAATTTTTCAACCAGAATTTTTAGAATATGCAGTTTTGTAGCTCATTGAATTTCAAATATTTTTTTTCGTAGTGGATATTCGACCGGAACTGCCGGTCGAATAATTTTTTTTTATTGGTCCGGAAATTCCGGATTATTAGTGCGCAATTGTTCGCCCGGGAAAAATTATTTAATTGGCATAATAACACAATCATTGCTCACATTTTAGCCCGGTGATGGATCTGGCGACGGCGAAGAAAAAAAAAAAATAAAAATAAAATAACTTCTGAATTGGGTAAATTTTACTAATGACAAAAAAAAGTTTGCTGAATTTTCGCTCACAGTTTGAAACATTAATTTACATGAATTTTATCATGATAAAAATATTACAAGGTAAAATCATTGAGTGGCAGTCTGACGTTTGCCAGCAATATAATTTTAAAATTCGAACTCAAGCTCACACAGACATTCTCATTTTTAATCTCAAACAACAACATTGTGAAAAATTTAATTTTTTTATTTTCAATTTTATATGATTTTAAAATGTTTTCAAACGTCAGAAAAATGATTTTACCCATGATAAAAATATAGTAAGGTAGAACCGCTGAGAGTCACTTTTAAAATTCTTGACGTTTCCAAACAATTTAATTTTTAAATTTACTCACAAACTCACACACACATTTTCATTTTCAATCTCAAGCAACAACAATTTCGAACAATTTCAATTTTTTATTTTCACTTTTATATGATTTTAAAATGTTGGCAAACTTCAAAAAAAAATTATGGCCGACAAATTGAGAGAACGGTTCTACCTTGCTATGTTTTTATCATGATTTTACCTACCTTTGTGAATGCAATTAATTGAGCGTGAATTTCTCTGCAAAAACAATTGTCTATCGCATCAACTTAAACAACAAAGTATTGGTCAACATTTTCCTTTTTATTGCTTTAATTAGGAGTGTGTTTGCTGTTCCAAGGTAACCAAAGTAACGGGTGGTAAAAACAATTTTTTTAAATCGAAAATTCCACAGAAAGCAAAAGCAAACTCTTGCTGTTCAAAATGAACACAAAATCCCACAATATTTACCTATGGACGGAACGCAATACCGATAATAAAAGACGAAAGCATTTACGGCAGACTGTTGAGTGGCTATTCCTGCGAGTAGACAGTACTTTAATGGCTAAGCTTTATTTACCGAGAATTCAGTGTATCGTAATTGGGTGCATTTGCGCAAAAATATACATACATATGTATGTAAGTGATTGAGTTATTTGGTACCCAATTATTTTTTTCTCCAAAAATATACAGAATTTGCTTTTTATTAAACACGTTTACACCATGTTTAAAAACATGAACACACATATACACAAGTTGATGCCAAATAGGTTGGCTACATAAGTTTGAATGGGAAAGAATCGATTTGTATATTTATGTATTTTAGCAAAATATTTATACACATACCGTTACCTCCAAAATTGAGCATACGGCTCTTTTTTGTTAATGTTCGTAATGTTTTACATGCTAAAAATTGTTAGTTAATTTTGTATTAAAGTATTGGTTATATTTTAGTAAACTCCATTTAAATCCAAGAATGATACTGTGTACAAAAATTAAGAAAAATCTGCAAAGTTTCAACAAAATCGGGAACTTTTTAATACCAATTTCTAAAAAGAATTCAGGTATGCAGTTGTAATCAGGAAAGAGGCTGTACTCTTCTACGTGAATAAGAAACTTATACTCCTTACTACTCTCAGAGTCATAGAACAAGGGGAAAGTATGCGCACTAACTGCGTGGAGCTGTGCTTTCCGAGATGTAACTTCACACAAAATTTCAAGTCCTTATTCCCCACCAGCACCAACTGGGACAACGAACAACCAAAACTCTGGAAGAATAGCCATATTGGGTATACTGACAATTCCATGCCGAAGAGAACAGGAGCTTATGCTGTAGAACCCAGAAAGCTCCATGTCACTATCATGAGATAAGGTAACTCTGTAAGGTAACTAAATATGTCTGCGACCGTATGTAGAAAGTAGAGCGAACAAAAAACAGATCTACATGCACTCTTACAGCAGGGCGGCACTCCTCGCTCTGATAGTGCACGAAGTTGCCTCAAAGCTTGGGCGGTACTGCCTGGAGCTTTTAATACTTATCGCATCCAGAAAGTGGATTTATCTCATTTTGGTAGCAGGACAAAGTGGAGTCATGGATAATGAAGTGACAGATATTCAAGCCAGATAACGGTCTTTACAGAGACTCATAGGGCTGGTTTCTCCAACTCCACTTAACTTAGTTTAGCAATTTTTTGGACTTACTTAAGTCAAAAGTTAGTCTACTTTTTACACAGCTTATTCTTGACTAAGTCTAAAAAATTGGCTAAACTAAGTTGAGTTGGAGAAAGGAGTCCTTGGTCTCAGGACTCTTTATTTTCTGCCTCAGAACTCCGTAGTGCGAAATTACTATGTCTGAATGAGAAAGGAAGCGCCACATTATTGGACAAGTACGGAAGGTAAGAGAAAAGCTAAGTACTTCATCCCAGATATGAACAAGAAGAAATGAAGTACTAGCTCACCTTTGTAGGCATGAAGTACGAATTGCTACAGGGATTTCACTAGGCAGTGAAGAGGAATGAAACTCTTGTCATAGGAGTTTTTAGCTCTGATCAGTGTAGGTTTTGTCTCGAAGAACAGCAAACAACAGAAAACCTTATGTGCACTGTTAACCCCTTACTAAGGCCATACTTCGCTTCCTAGGTTAACAGTTCCTAGAAGCACATAAAGTAAAGAACATACAGCCAAGGGACTTCGCGAGTTTTTTCAGCAATTTGTGTATCAAAGAAGAGCCAAACAGAAGTTTGTTACAATAAAATGTTCTCTGCCTTGTTAACTGGATGACCTGTTCCCATCTCTAAATCTAATTTAAGGCCAGAATTCTCCAGACTTATCCCCACATGCCCCTAAAACAGGCATGGGAACAGGCGTTGGCAGAACGCCATAGCAAGTGCCAAACTTTTGCCTGTGCTGCCCATCACTGCCCTAAAACCTAACCGACCTTTTGGTGAATTCAAACCGCTGCTTTAATAAAATATTTACTGCCTAATTTATCGGAAAACAAGGTATTTGATAAAGATTCTATGTGAACCTGTGGATCTTCTGAATACTCACATCTATGGTTAATAGTTCTGTATTCTTCGTTTGTCGATCAATGGCGAACGTTATACTTTCCATGTATAAAGATTTATCATGTTGCTCTATTCGTCACATCAACTTATGGGACTTTTATGGTTGGACTTGATTTCCAATATTCTGTCACGGTTTCTTTCCCCACGCAGTCATATGCTAGGTTATTAGCGAAATACCGCCCTGTTCCGGCATCCGGCCTCCTTTGTCCTTTCTGCAGTCAGACTATCTATATGTCCAATAAAAGCTAGTTCATCTGCTCATCAAGCGAAGAATAACTCTTGCCAACAGTTACTCTCTCAGAGCCCCCTCTCGACGAACAAAAACTGCGCTCTACAAATCTCACATCTTCTTTTATATGGCGCAGAAACGTGGACAATGAGAAGGGCTTGAATGTTTTCGAGACCACTGTTCTACGGGTACAAAGAAAAAACTACGTGACGAACTTAACGACAAAGACATGGACGGGATGAACAAGCGGCGCGCCACTTCGCAAAGAAACAATCGGCGAAGCATTTTAGTCTTGACCGAAACCGACCCACGGTGTTAGCGCCAAATAAGAAAAAAGAAAAATTTGATTACACCGGCGCAAAAAAAAGTGGTCCGAAGACCACTTTTGCATTCTTCGGAATTTTCGTAATTAACTTGAAATCTATGAAGTGTACGAGTCAAATGGACCTCAGATTCGGATTCAGTGGGTTGAAATACGTGTCCGTAGGTGGGTCTGGTTAAAAGCACACACCACTTTTTTTTTTGCTTTATGTGCCGGTGTTATGAACTAAGAAATCTGGTACATTAGTTATTGGAATATGGAATTTTGAAAGTTTGACTTTCAATGATTTAATTTGTTTGTTTGTAATGAATATAAGAACATATGTAGATGTACGAATATGAAGAAGTATGAAAATGAGTGCGTATACATATTTTTCAGCGTGCATTCGATTTGTGTGATTTATCTGATAAAGTGAGCGTGATATATGGAAAAGTTGAATGAAAAAAGTGCTTTCAAATTCGATTAATAACGCTTTCATATTATAGCCTCAAATAAATCTTAGTTTTAACTTTTTTTTTTTGGAATTTGATGAGCTTATTCGTTAAATGTAGTGCTTAAATTGCCCTATATTAGAAACGCTCAATACAAAAAACAATACCTCCACTTGAATTTTGTTTAAATATACTTAATCTGCTACTTTAAGAAATAATTGACTTTCAACTTTTTGTAAATATTTCAAAATTAGTATATACGAGGGGTGATGCAAAAGTTATAATAATGAAAGTTTAACACGTTGATTAGATTAAGACAAAAAAAAAAATAATTTATTTTTCTATGTATTTAGCTCTCTAACAAGTAAATACTTTTTGTTCATTTCTTTTCTAAGCACACGATTCCCTTAGAAAAAAATCTTTAATTTGACCCTCCAAAAATTCCTTTTTTTTGGTTTCTTATGTGAAACAACCAACCGACTATCCTTACTTTTGAAACACCCCTCGTATATATACAAGTATATACTACGCATGCATTATTAGGGGCAGTAGTTGGCAATTCTAAGGACAAGCAAATCAAATTGAATGAAAATAAGAAGAAAATATCTTGCTCAACGATTGCGAAACTGAATGCATATAGCAGGCAAACACTCATATGGAATTTGATTTGCAAACACAGTTATTAATACATACATTGACTAGACGTTGCAAGGTGGCCACATATGAGTTTTCACTATGCACAATTGCCGCCACAATGTGACGCCGTTTCAGCTGTTGCTGCGATAAGCCTGGCGGTGCGGGTGGCAACATTGGCGTAATGAGGCGGGAATGCGCATTGTTTGCAGTGCCATTGGCGCGACTGCCCGGCGGCAACATTAGATCTAAATCGAAACGTGATGACGTTAAAGCGGCCTCTTCATCGTCGTTCTGCAATAACAACAATTTCAACAAATGTCAATAAAATTCTGAAAAATCTTGTTTTCGCTTTTTTCCACTTCGTTACTCACCTCTGGCACACCAGGCATTTTATTAGCGCTCAGCTTTTGTGGTGATGCATGCGCTGAATCGCCGCAAGCTGAAAGCGCTGCTGAATCCGGTATATCAATGCTTGAGGCTGCCGATTGGCGGCCATCTCGTCCACCCACATCATACTGATGTGACGAACCGCGCCGTATCGAGAACCAGCGCGACAATCGCCCACCTGGCGACTCACCTGGTGTGGTGAGATCCTCGCGAGCGCTTTGATGTGCTGTCGGCATGGTGCAGGCGCTAGCACGACGTGTATGCGTGCTACTGCCACTGCTATCAGCGGCGCCGTTGCTGGCCGCCGAATTTATTGCGCAATTCGTGGATGTGTTGTTGGCAGCGTTTCCACTGTTCGAGGAACTCGTGCGCCATTTGTCAAAGGACAAATGCTGTTTGGCCTTGTTGAGTGTGGAACGCAATTGTGAATTGCGTTGATTGGTTGCGCTCAACGACGTCACGCTGCTGCGTTCACGTTCGCGTTCACGTTCGTCCTCCGTTGCTGCTTCTTCGTCGGAAGCTGAGTGCTGTGTGCTGCTATTCGCGGCGTTGGTTTCTTGATCTATCGATTGCTCCGAACACCAACTATCCTCGGATTGTACGGAGCGTGTAGAGGCGTTGTGTTCGAGACGCTTCTTTGAAGCTGAATTTGTGGATGCGGCGCTTTGGCTATTGCTTGCGGTATCTGTGTTTGCAGTTGCAGTGCTTACACCAACGGCCGCTGAGCCGCCGTTGGTGCTGATACTTCCGCCAGCAATTGTGTTATTTGTATTCGCAACTAGGGCGGCTGTGGTATTTTCCGCCTCGTTAGTTTGCTTGCTGACGCTGCTAGGGCTGCCACAGCTTTTACTATGCTGATGATGATGCTGCTGCTGTTGTTGCTTTTGATATTGTTGCAGCGGTGCTGCAAGCGTGTTAGAATTTAATAGCGTATGTAGGCCGTTATATGAGGTGCGCGATGAGTTTAGCGGGTCGTGACGACGCAGCGGCGTATTAGGGGCGTTGTGATGCAATTGTGCCGTAGTAGTAGTCGTGTTGCTGCCGTTGTTGCTATCGCCGTGCGGAGATAGCTCAGAGCTATTAATATCGAGTGCAGGTAGGGAGTTCTCCCACGAGCCAGAATTCAATTTGGACTCATCTGTTGGAAGATAGAGAGAAAAAACCAAAAGAGAAAGGATTTAAAATTGATTTCGATCAAAGAAGCAATGCTTTTTGATTAAATGGAGCAAACAATTTATATGTGTCTGTGCTTAGCAGCCAAGGCATAATGATGTGTTACAGGTTGTCAATATATTTATCGAAGTAAATATGGATACATTTATCGCTATCGTTATCGACACATACATATATCGATGCCTCAATGAATATATACATATAGGGTGGTCCTTAAATGTAGGAAGCACATTTTTACATCAGATTTCCGAAGCCTCAATCCCTACGTCGATGCTAATATATTCGAAGATATCGCATAAATTTTGGTCCCGATTGAAGGTGGTTAAGGCGTGTCGCACAGGGGTCAAAATTCAGATTACCCTATGAAGACTTCTTAACTAACTCTAATCGGGAGCAAAATTTATATGTGATATCCGCGACTTTAGTAGTATGTATCTATTTGGGGTATTAAATGAAAAAAAATAAATAAATTTTTTGAGTCTCTATAGAGGACTCTGTACTTTGCCCCCTGTGCGACTCGCCTTAACCGTCTCCAATCGGGACCAAAATTTATATGTGATATCTGTGACCTTGGTATTACCGATTCAGGGAGTGAGACTGAAAAAAAATCGTGTATTTGATTTTAAGGATCACCCTAATATATATATATCGATATCATGAACAAATATTTGCCACGTTAACATTTTGCGGCATTTCTTCCCCTTTTTAGTGTGCTTTTCATTTTGTCAAAGAAATGGATGAACGAAATCTATTAGAGCACAATTTTTCTATATTTTTCATTGATATCAGTTTATATTTCTCAATGAGATTTTTTTCTGATGATGTTTTGGAAATTTCAGGACCCCTAATTTTATTCATTTTTATGAGAAATATTATTGCCTATTTTTATAGACCTTCTAAAGGTCATTTACAGATCGCGCTCTGTCGATTTAGATCAGAAATACGATTTTGTAGATTTATGAGTTTTGAATGACTATTTTTGATTCGATTTCAAAGATCGAATATGATCTGAGAAAAGGATATATAGGCCTTTAAAATGGTATAAAATAATCCATTGTCGGACTTGGCTTGTTGGGATTTTTTATCGGGTAAAAAAAAACCATATTTCCCTTAATTTTTAAAATTTTGACCATCGATAAAATTAAACCTGTTTTTAAATAAAATGATAGCCCATTTTTCGCAATCGCATAAAACTTGTCGAAGTTAGTCGACTTTTCTTAAATACGGCCTTAAATGTATACATTGATCACATACCATTTAAAAAAAGAAAAAATGTTTGGTGTATACTAGATTTGACCCAAAGAGGCAAGGGATTAAATAAGGATAATTTAGGAATTTAAATAATCTGAGCCTGCATAATACTTAAATGGTATGTAATCAATGCAATCTTAAAATTTTCGAGTGTTTTCATTGATCCCAGAAAATTATATTGACCTCAAAAGGAAAGAACTCCTTTTCTTGCGTGTAATTCCTATGGGAAAACTAAAGGCTCGATGCGGGACCTCTTAGAATTGTCCTATACCAAATGCTAAAATTTGAGTCTTATTCCGGTTGTTTTTTTTTGACGTGGTCTAACGTACATACATGTATACTTAATACATATGTACACCTACTAAAAACTCAAGTTTGCAAGTGAAGTGTCATGCTCAACATTTGTCAATAAAAAAAAACAGTTTTCAAACAAAACACTTTAGTATATTTAACACATTTATTCGACACTTTCGTTTATCTGTTGGCGCTCCGAAAGGCCATTAGCGTCCATTAAATCAACAAACTAGTGAATGTCAGCAATTCAAGCGCAAGCAAGGAATCGTTTAAAATAAAAATCAATTCGCACACACTAACGAGTGCCAAGAGTACGGGCATATGTATGTACATAAATGAATATACATTAGACTGTGTCAAATAAAATGAAATTTTTTACTTTCGGATCCATATAAAAATTTCGTTACAAGTCACGAAAAATTATTTGTGCGAAATTGCAGACACTTATCTTCATTTTTCAGTTAGCGCTCGCAAAAATAATATTTTTTAATAAAAAAAAAAAAAATTCCGCAACTTGTTTTTTTTTTAATAAGAAATTATATATGACAAATAAAAGAAATAACTTGGTAGGCCATTCAATTTTAGTGCAGTAAGTGAAAGTTTGAAGTAGCTAAGTCTTACCGTTAATTTTTCGCAATTTTTTTTGTTGAAGGTTTCGTTCACTTCTTTCTATATATTTAAACAAGTGTACGGAAGAAAACGACAAAAAAAGATTGCCAAAAACTAACGGTAAGTATTATATTAAAATTGACTACGAGGATTTTTTTATTTGTTATATTTAATTGTTTATTATTTAAAAATAGCGAAACATTTTTTTTTTCAATACAAATTTTATATTTTTGCGAGCCACAATTATTTTTTTTTGTGACCGACAATGAAATTTTCATATGGTACCGAAAGAAAAAAATCATTAGTTTTATTGGATCCAGTCGCATATACAAACATATGTACATGTGTATATACCAAATATACATACATACAGTATCGGTCATATCTATAGCACGCCATTTCAAAGTGATATTGTGTGCCACTTATGTTTATTTATTTATTTATTTTTAAGAAAAAAATCACTTTGAAATGACGTGCTATACGTATGACCGATACTGTATGTATGTATCTAAAAATTTATTTATTTAGAAACAAAGAACGGAACGTCGGCCACTTGTTTGGGTTTGGGTTTGGTTTGCGGTGTCATAAAAGACGGCTATGTTCTACAAAAGTGATTGTCACCCACGCATTGGCTAGTGAAGTGCATCCACGTACTGGAGGTTTGCTGGTCAAATACATAAGAATATACATACATAGTGGATATGTATACGTACATACATATATGAACATACATTGTACATACAAACATACATTTTACTTTTTACTGCAAAGCTAGATTTGTGCAGATATAAAATACAAACATTTATTTCATGAATTATGTAGAACGTAAATTTTTTTATTGCAACATCCATATGGAATACCGCTTAGGGGCAGCTTAATTTTAAATTGTTGCCTTTATGACCAATAGGGCAAGCCATAAAGTGCTTTAAGCTTTAAAATCATTCAAATGAGCGTTTTAAAGCCGTTCACGTGCATGGGCGGCAATCCAAATATGTATGTACATACATATGTACATATATATGTATGTGTATATAATTCTAAAGTTTAAAAGTTCCACAAAAATATTAGATATATAGAAAACATTTCGCAGCGGTTTTAAATACTGGACTGAAACGAATTTTCGGAAAAAGTACAAATTTTTGTGTAGGTGCATTTTAAAACCGAAACCATAGGGGTATTCACGATCCGGTGCATACTGTCTAGGATAGGGCATAGATAGCATAAATAGCATGATTGCTGTTGTTTCATGTGTTCAAACAACAACAAAATTAGCCAACCATGCTATTTATGCTATTTATGCCAGTAATGCACCATGCTAGACAGTATGCTCCGGATCGTGAATACCCCTCATGTTTTCAACGATAAAGACGTAAGACCTAAAAGGACAATGCCATTTGCAGAAATGGCCTGATGAAAATATTTTTAAAAGGATTTTGTTTTTTTGAATTCATAAAGCTCTCAAACAAAGAGCATGAACAAAATTTTAAAATTTTGCAATTTTTTTCTTCGCGTTGCATATTGTTGCGAATTCATTTTGCAAAGTGCAGGTATCGCAAACCAATCCATCCTAATGTGAATGTTTATACATAAAAAAACTGTGTATGTATGCATGTGGGCTTTAAGTAGTTTTATTTTATTTTTAATGCGCATTTGAGTGACTAGTTTAATGAGTAATCATGGATTTGAAAAGTTAAAGTGAGTAGTTTTATATGAATACAATTGCTCCTACACATGTATGTACATAGCCGTGTACATATAGTGACTTAAAAAAGTGCTCAAAAGTTGATTTTCTTTAAAAATTTACAGTTTGGTTCAGCTAACATTTTTTTGTTAATTCTTTATAAAAGTCTTGATTATGCTAATAGCCAAAAGGTGTGAATTTAAAGATATTTTATGGGTACGAATAATGTTTAGCCCTCAGATTTTTCTGAAATAAACATGCATTTTGTAAGAAAGAAAACATACACAATTAAAAAAAATTAAAAACGTGAACATTGGGTGGGAAGGCCGGTAAAGTTTACCCACAGAAATTTATTGTTTTTGTGAAACAAACAAAATGAAATATTCATAACAAATTCCTTTCTTAAAAACTAATAGCGCAGCTTTGTAACTTTATCGAAAACAAATATTTTGAAAAAAAATCGGGAATGAACTGCTGAGTTTTCAAAATTCTAGTTAATAGGTTAATACAAAAATTTGACAAAAACACGCTTAGACCTTGTTGTTTTCTCAAATTTTCTTTAAAAAAATATAATTGCCAAATTCGTGCTGTCCTAATGGATGTATCAAGTACGAGGATGTTGGAGAGCAGGGGGAAATCCTAGAGGAGGTGAAGCCGAAAAAGAAGGCCAAGGGCAAGAAGGCGTGCACACCATAATCATAAGTATCGAGCCGTATGAATTGGACGAGCCTGTAAAGAAGGGCAAAAAGAAGGGCCTAAGAAAAAGGAAAAAAAGGAGACATCGACTGGTGCCAAGTTGGCACTGAAATTTAAAATGGGCGGCGAATAAAAGAGTAGCAAGAAGATGTTTGGGGAAAAAGAGGCCACAAGACCTGTACCGCAGCCACCACCGAAGAATAGTAAACCTGTTTTGTAAATGGAGAAGCGGGCCAAGGCAGCAGCTAAAGCAGCGACGTTTTCCCCAAGCAGCATTAGCCTTCTAAAGCCGAATTGGTGCGCATTTTTAAGCTGAATCGCAGATTTCATTCAGCATTTTCTAAAAATAAATCACAAAATTAAAAAAGAACCGTATAAGTCATACTAAATAGTTCCACTCAGCGATTTTAAGCAACAGCTTCGAAAATTGGCTGCATTAATGTAAAACAATTGAAATTAATCGCTTGCGTTACTAAAATCTTATATCCATCCATTATTTTATCTTGTAGGAGGAGTGGTAAACACAATAATTTGATATAGATCGCCTTGGATTTCGGAACATTGACAATTTTTCAAAAAGTTGTTAGTGAAAATACGTAATTTTGCGCCGGACATCCAGCTTTGACACTAAAATTTAAAATTTTTTCATTCAAAAGTCATAAGTGAATAATAATTAGTTATTGGTCATAACTGATAAGTAATTTTTCGGTAGTCATTAATCATAAGTCTCTAATCATCTGTCATAAGTCGTTAGTATTTAGTAGTCAATCCTTTGTCATAATTTAGTGATCAGTCATAAGTTTTAAGTCACCACTCATCCACTCTTCCCAAAATACTGGCTAAGCTATTATTTTTTTTTTCAAATAAAAAGCGCCTTACAATAAAATATAATCTATTTGAAAAACTGTCTAAGGAAAAAACAATTTAAATTTTAAATCAATAAAGCTTCGATTTTAATATAATGCAGATCAAATCATCTACATAAATCATTATTACTCATCCAATTACATGCGTTCATGTCAACCTACTCAGCTGTCAATATAACTATTATGTACTTATTTAAAACAATCAAAAAGGTGATACTTAGGTGCAAAATCGCTACAAGTGTATACCGTTAGGTACAAATTTTGTGTGGGAGAAGATTAAAATATATGTATATGTATGTACATATGTTGCGCAACAGCTTATTTCGTTGGCTACTACTTCAAGCGCGCTTAATATGGAAACTTGTTTGTCCGAAAGAACGAATAGCTTCCGTGGCAATTTTTATTAATACATTGCTTTGGAAATCTATGTATAAAAAAAATTTATTTTTAAAACTAAAAATTGTATTAAATACATTAAATGAGCAATTCTTGTTCATATATATGTATGTATATATATCCATAGCGTTCTCGGAAACGGCTCTAACGATTTTGATGATATTTTGTACTCAGATAATGTTTCGGATTTTAAGGTTACCTGAATAGGCATTATCTTATTAATTAAAACTTCATAATATGGATATAAAATGGAAGGTATTTTAAAGATCCCTAATTCAAAAATATTTTTAATAGGGTTGCCGCCTATTTTGAATCGCATGCTTATTTAATTTTTTGCACAGAAAAAAGTTAAAGTATTACTATTCATGGGTACCAAGAGAAGGTTCTTAAGTAATGCTTTCCCTGCGTACAAGGTGTTACCCCTTAGGATAATAGTGTAAGGTTGCCACTTATTTTCGATTCTTCACAATTTATCTAAAACATCGCAATATGGATATCAAATGAAAGGTATTGTTGAGAACTTTGGTCCGCAAATATTTTCGATCAGGATTGTTACGCTTCTATGTAATACAAATTTTTATTTTGATAATTTCAATCAGCATTTTTTTGTATGTATACAAAGTTCATATATGCTCAAGATATGTACTATCCATTCCAGCGTATTTCGGAATAAGGCTGCCACCTACATTTTAGTGTAAGAAATTTACTTAATAGATATCGAAATCCAATTTTTTTATTTCCACAATATTTTTTTAAAAAGCTATCCAAATGAGACGTATTTGATTCCAAACCTTGAAAACTTTAAAAAGTATATGTACTCCGGGCAAAGCTCGGTCAACCTGGTGCTATAAATTGAATTTCTTATTTTGTAACTTTATTGCCAGGTATGTACATAAATAAATTAAGTAGAATATAAACGCTCCTGACTGACTCTGCCTCCATAATGTCTGGCCATTTCGCCCATTTGCATAGACAAAACCAGTTAGTCACCTACCATTAAATTTGAACTTCCTGCTCACATACTGATCTAATTTCTATTTAAGTACAAACATAGCCAGTTTCCTATGTCCGTCTTTCAATGAGCATTTCAATTGCCCTTTTGCAAGCCTATGCAAATATTCACATTTAAATGTAAATCCAATTCATCCATTCATTCAAAACTAAACCAACCACTTTTCATCGCCCACTTTTACGTCATCCAGCCACAGTGTTGGTTGGCCAAAGAGGGCAGATACACAGAAAAAAAGAGCAAAAAACGAAGTTAGTAGAGGAGAAGTTTTACTACTATTTGTTATTTTTGCGCTAATGTGAACTTGAAGATATGTATGTATGTAGGTGATTTGAGGCAATATGTTGCACGTGGTAAAGAAGACAGATTTGTGAACAAAATGAAATGCCTACCCATACACAGGTGCGTGCATGTGTGATTTCAGACTATAAAAGTGTATCTATTTCCTTACATACGCCACAATATGGTTGCTAAGGTAATCGATTCGTAAGCAAATCCATTTCCAGTTTGCTCTGCCCTTTCAAGGAGATGCAAATGAGCTTCCTCAAGCGCTTCGATTTCAACCAACCTTTACTTTGAAATTGAAATGAGAAAAGCAAGAGGAAAAAGATTGTCAATTCAGAAGCTCGTTCTGTTGATAAGAGGCGACTGGAAAAAGGCTTGTGGGTTGAAACTAATAAATGGAATAAAGTAAAATAAGAGCAGCAAACCGGCATTACAACGCGATTTTTGTTTATACAAGTCTGACTATACATATATATGCGGCTGCATTAATTTGATCAGTCGTGAGCCTTTTTTGCCTACTCGACCTATATTTGAATAGGAGTAAGTATATATGCCCATTAGGGTGGTCCAAAATAAGTAAAGTCGGAATTTCCTCTCACCCCTAGGATTGCTCTATAACGAAAAAATAAACTCCTATTTTTTATTTTGAAATCAAAAAATATTTAGAGGTCTCTCAAAGCGCTCAAAGTTTTCCATGTATTTTATATGGGGAAAAACCAAAAATCGATATTTTTCGATCGGAAAACTCAGTTTCTCTTCAGGAGACTTCCAATAACAATGGCCAATTGTTTATTTAACCATTTTTTAATAATAAAGATTTTTTATTTATCCTCCGAACCTATAAAAAATATAGTAACTATGAAAAAATGGTTTAAAAACAATTGGGTTTTACCGTCGAAAAATATTGATTTCCGAGAATTCTTTACCATTTCTACGAAAAGTTGTTTTTCTCCCATATAAAATACATGGAAAATTTTGAATGCTTTGAGTGACCTCTAGGTATTTTTTGATTTCAAAATAAAATATATGGGTATATTTTTTTTTGGTATAGGAACAATCCTAGGGAGTGAGAGCATAACAATTTCGAGTTTACTTTTTTTTCATGCATTTTTGCACCACCCTAATACCCATATACGCATATCTTTTCCTGTGACATACAATGTTGTCCACAAAGACAGGCGATTTGTCTTCGGTGCAAGAGGAGTTTTTTCCATATTTCGTACTTTTAATTTTTGGAAATATTGTAAACGTTTCTATGGTGACCTTGTACCTTCTTGTTAGGCTTCCATGCTATATTTGAAACTTAATACTTAAGCCCCAGGTTAGGTTTGCTTAGGCATGACTAGATGAAATGTAAAAAGGGGCAAGCGCTAAATGCCCCATTTGTTTTAGGAACACTTGGTGAGAGAATCAGTTAGCTCCGCTGTTTGCATAAGCATCCCGACTATTAGTGTGGCGGCAGTTAGGGTTGCCCTCATAGCCAGTTGAAAATTATTGGCAACGGAAACTTTCTTCATCAAAAACTTCTTTGACTGCGATATTAGACTGATCCATAATTACGGTAAATTGGAACAGCGATCAGTATATACTTGCGTTGAATATACCCCATACTTGTTCTTCTTCTTCTTATTTGGCGCTGTAACCGCTTTAACGATTTTGGCCGAGTTCAGCAAAGTACGCCAGTCGTTTTTCTTCTGTGTCAACTGACGCCAATTAGAAATGCCAAGTAAAGCTAAGTCCTTCTCCACCTGATCTTTCCATCGTAGTTGGGCGAAATCTTCCAACTAAAGGCCTCCAGTAGGCACGCATTAGTTCCAACCCTAACGGATCAATATAATACCTAACGGATCTATATAACTTTATTCCTGCTAGAAGTAAATACATTCATTATTTGTTTCCATTAAGACAAAATAATGTCAATAAGCAATATTTACATACATACATCCTACTGTTTTGTCGACCACTTGAAAACGCACAATTGCGAGCATCTAATAGATAACACTACGGCACATTAGTAGACAATTATTTGCTATGCATTTGTGGCATACAAAAAATAAAGACGTTTACAATTTCAACGTAAATTGGTACATACAACCTGATAATCTCGTTTTACTTTTACGATGCCTCAGCATCTTCTGTAAACATGGGCGCGAAATATAACACTTGTAACGCAACTCACTTGCTTTGAAATTATAGATCATTGCAATAACCTTGCTGCTGACGCCGCCTCCCGCCGCCGCATTTGGTGTCTTACTATGTTGCCTGCCTGTACAGGAGTTTGCTAGTAGCTATTAAGCATACAAATAGCTGTTCGAACTCACATTTATTCGTGTATATATACATATATATATATATATATATATATATAACAAATATGTAGATATAAAAATGTACACTAGGGTGGTCCAAAAATGCATGTGAAAAAGTAAAGTCGGAATTTTCTATGATTGTTCTATACCGAAAAAAATATACTATTATTTTTTTTATTTTGAAATCAAAAAATATTTAGAGGTCGCTCAAAGAGCTCAAAATTTTCCATGTATTTTATATGGGAGTAAAACAACTTTTCGTAGAAATGGTAAAGAATTCTTGAAAATCAGTAGATTCCCAATAATAATACCCAGTTATTTATTAAATAATATTTTCATAGCAACTATATTTTATAGGTCCGCCAAAACCCCAGAAAATGCAATGAAGGGATAAATAAAAAATCTTTAGTATTAAAAAATGGTTAAATAAACAATTGGGTAATGTTAGTGGAAGTCTTCTGAAGAGAACCAGAGTTTTCCGAACAAAAAATATTGATTTTCAAGAATTCTATACCATTTCTACGAAAAGTTGTTTTTCCACATATAAAATACATGTAAAACTTTGAACGCATTGAGCGACCTCTAACTATTTTTTAATTTCAAATTAAAAAATAGGGGTTTATTTTTTTAATATAGAACAATCCTAGGGGGTGGTAGCATTAAAATTTCGATTTTACTTATTTGGGCCACCCTAATGTACAGCCATACACACATTTAAGTTTATTTCGCATTTGTGCCACTGTTTGATCAATTTCTCATTTGTTTATTTATTTGTCGCCTCAACGCCATCAACCAACTAACTTGTTGTGTTGCCGACATTAGGCGTCGGCGATATCTGTGCGCTTTGTGCAGATTCATATCTCACACCGGTTCTATAATAACATAGCATCAATATGTACCTACATACATATGCACCTATGTATGTAGCTATGTACTATATATCTTGGCAGTTGTGTGTTTGGTCGCTGGTTGACATGATTAATCGATTTGTTCCTGTGGCAATATTACGCATCGTTAGATGCGTGTTGTCACCACTTGGCTTTATTGGCTCTTAGCTTGCTGCCAGTCAAGTGGAAATGCGTTTTCTTGTCGTCGTGTATTTACCTGCTACCCACATTCATTCATTCTATAACGTGTTTACAAATATTTACATAAGAGTGCCTCACGAAAAAAAGTTGCTGTTTTTCAAGGGATTTATAAAGCTTATTATATCATAAGATTCGCGCCAAAAATATTTCCGAAAAATATTAAGATTTTCGTGAGCTGGGCCGATTTTAAGAGAACTCCAAAAACAGATTTTTTTATAAATAATGTTATGATACTCTTTAAATATTTTTATAATAGCACAGTTCAAGCTTAAAAGGTCTGCATAAAAATGCTTAAAAATTAAATCAACAGAATAAAAATATATTCGGTTCAGCTCACGTTAATCTCAATATTTTTCCGAACAATTTTGGCAGAAGTCTTAAATTATATGTAATACCTTTTTTTTGTATGGAGAGCGATACACCCTAATGTGCATATATACCTAGATACATACAAATGCAGACGCATATATTTGGCTAATACAAGTATTACTGTTTGAGAGCTTCTTCTCTGGTGACACTTTCATGGTAAGTCAACACGTCCAACTGCAAATGAGTTAGCAAAGCAACAGAAAAAACTCCGTTCATGGTTTCGATTTCAATTTATGTCTATCATTGAATTTTAATCGGATGTCTTTTTAATGGGCGTAGAGACACTAGTTTGAAATATCGTTTGCTCTGTGCAGTTTTTTTTTACGCAAAATCTGATTTTCAGCTTAGTAGTTTAGACTATTGCCATTAATGGAGAAATCGCAGTGAACTTCCTCTGGCGACTTAAAAAAACAAATTTATAAATCAAATGAAAAAGAAGCAGGTAGTGACGGCCTTGCGTAGTCTAAGAGACTTCCTTCATACAATTCGTTTCTTGCCTTCCGTTTATTTTGTGCAAACCACCATTTAAGTCATATGCTCGAAATTAATATTTGCTTGACTTAATGAACATTTTCGAGAAAATGCGTACTGAAGTTAGTTAAGCTATAAAACATTTTGTGAGATAGCCCTTGCTCGAAGTAAAAGTGGATTTTTTCCAGAGTGCCTAGATTTTAAAACTTCTACCCATCAAAGACTGCTAGCAGTATTTAAAAACTCAACCTTTCAGCTGATATTTGTTAGCGGCAAAAGTGGTAGTAGTTTGTTGTTCACATATGAGTCTTCTGTATTTTTTCTCTAATTTAAAAAAGGATATAATTAAAAAAGTTTTGTCATAATTTGTTATTTTATCACATATATGATCGAAAATATTTGAATGGGACCCATTTATATTCAATTACTTTATTGTTATAAAGTAAAAACCTAGCATTTTTTATTGAAAAAATATACGCTTTTGCTACAATTTGATGTCGAAATCTATTGAACAGTTCAGAATTATAAAGGGATTTTCAATCGCCGCGGGTAGACTGTTGTCTGGCGGCAGGAGGTATTTTGTTTTGCCACCTTTTAACACCAGACACACGCGATTTGCTTCCCTATCTAATTCCGATATAGTCATTGGGTTTTACCGATGATGTCGATGTCGTCGGCATACGCCAGCAATTGTACCTTTTTATAAAGAATTGTGCCTGAGCGGTTCAGACCTGCGGCCTTCTCTGAAAAACTATTTGGAAACAAATGGCTTGCAGAGGACGTTCCCACTTCTGACGGAGCTGGTTGTATTGCTGAACGTCATTCTACACAGCCATATTAGTTTCGCGGGGGCACGAAATTCAGACATCGTGGTGTAGATATTACTTTTTCGTGCTGTCGAAAGCGGTTTTAAAATCAACAAATAGTTGGTGTAAGTCGATTATACATACTTTCTCGAACCTTCCATGTGTTGCATGGCATAAGGTAACCTTATCCCAGATCTAAAGCCACCCTAATAAGGCCCAATCAACTGACGGTGGGCTTCAGTCTTTCCCACAATAGCCTCGATAAGGCATTGTAATCTACATATGGTTAGAAGGCTGATACCGCGGTAGTCGGTGCATATAGTGGGGCCGCCTTTCTTGTGGATTGGGCAGAGCACACTTACAGTCGTTGGACATGCGTTCATCTGGCCATATTCTGCATAAGAGTTGATGCATGCACCTTATCGACTCCTTGCCGTCAAACTTGAATAGTTCAGCTGGTAGGCCGTCGTCCGCGTAATTGCTATTCGTACCTCGTCATACTCAAGCGGTGGGACATCGACTCCATCATCATCGACTTTTCCACAACTTTCCATGCTGCTACCATTCAGTTGGGTGGAAAAATGTTCCCGTCATAATTTAAGTACGTTCTGGACATCGGCCACTAGGTTATAGCCCCCAACATCGGTCCCAAATAGCGCCATCTGTTTCTGCTTATTTCTCAGTCACTAATTTAAACCATATTCCGCATGGATGATTTGAGGCTATGGTTACCTGAGGTTGCGTGAATTCACCACCAACATCAATATGGTTAGACCCCGCTATACTTTTTTGTGTCGGGTTGCCAATAAGCCATACGCGACCATGGAGGCATTTAAGCAGTGTTATATTCGTGTGTTGGTGTTGGTTGATTATTCCAACAGGGTGGTAAGATGATTTATTTTGGAACGAATTTCCGTCATTCCTTGTAAAGTTTGGTTGCAGTGTCATTTCGAACGAAAAATGATACTGAAGATGGCATAACGTCTGCAAACCAAACCTGACGAGGGATGACGGAAATTCGTTCCAAAGTAAATAATGTTATATTCCATATATCGTCACCTAAAGCTGAAAAGGTGCCAAGTCCATTTTTTGAAATTGTTCAGGAGAGACGAAAAGTCGATGTAGTTTCATATTACCTGCTGCATAAAAAAAAAAAAATTGGAAGAAATGGACTTGGTACCTCTTTACCTTTTTGGTAGCGATATAATGGCATTTGAGTCCTTTAAAAAAAGCACATTTTCGGTGATACTTCACACACAGCTTGTTCTAGTTATTCGATTACATTTCAACCTCTACGAGTACCAGTCCTTATGTAAAAACTTTTTATTCTCCGGTCTTCATCTTACCCTTTTTCACGCCAAGATGTCAATGACACCGTGTACAGCCCAAACACTTCCCCAAATTTATTTCAAAATTCTTAAGAAGTTCAGATGAACAAGAAGAATAAAACATTTTTGTGTGCATAGTGCGTGGTTTTACAACAGAATCTGATATCTTTTGCGAACGGCATTAAATATGAAAAAATTTCCGTAAACAAATAACTACATACAGTGACTCAAACAAATGAACACGTGTTGCTTTTTATAATATTCGTAATATTTTTCCAGCTAAATTTTTTTTTTGTTATTTTTATATAAAAATATCGTCTAAGCTTCAACCAAAACGCATACCCAAAAATTTTCTACAAAATCAGAATAAAAAGTTGAAATTTTGATGATTTCGAGTCACTGTATAGCAATGGAACATTAAATTGGCCGATTGCCTTTCCATGAAGTATGCATTAGTTTGTTATTGGTTGAATAGTATTTTTTTTTTTGCGATTAATAACAGCAATTAAAGCGAATTTTTGCAGTTAGGAGAATAATGGCGCCTCAACTGAAAGTTTAATAAACAATTTTAATTATGGCGATGAAAGTTGCTAAGCATTTGTTATATGTACCTCTGCATGTACGCATGCCAATTTTTGCATAACACGCAAAGGTGAGTCAAGTGCAAATGTTTGCCTAATGTAGTCAGTGAAAACTCGCAAGCAAAGAGAGTTGAGAATGAATTATTTGCGCCTCGCTTGCATAAAGCTTTTAATAAAATCTGATTTCAGACTATTCCCTTTTAACTTCTTTAATAAATAAACTTTCACTCTTTCAGCTCTACTTTGTAATGAAAATATTAACGATTCCTTCTGTGACAACATCTTAGCCTTTCATTGGACTAAACCGGGC